AACACAAACTGCTGCCTTCCCCCTTCTTGCCGGCTCTGAACTGAGCACAGCAGACGTGGTCAGATCCTGTCTTCGCAGCATAAACAGTCCCCGAGGTCTGCTGAAACATGGAAGCCTCAAAGCCATGTGGCCCAGGTGTCAGGTCAGGCTCTGTCCCCAAAGCACACAGCTGGGGAGAGGGGACCCCCGAGTGTGGGTGGGCGCCAGCCCCTTGTCTGCTGTGAGGTCCCACCTGATTCTGCACAGCTAGCAGGGGAGGGATGGAGGGAGCCTTAGGGTGTCCTCGGGACTCAGCAAGTGTCTTTCTGGAATTTAACCCCTCGAGGGCTGGGTCAGGCCACGCTGGGAAAGCCCCACAGCACCCAGAGTCCTGCTGCTCAGCCTGGCAGAGGAGCCCAGACTGTCACAGCCCCTTGGTGTGGGAAACAGGAGCTGTAGCACCCCCAGGAGCTGTGTGTTTGCCCGCAGGGCCCTGCCCTGGTTCCCACAGAAGAAGGCTCACTGCAGGGGAGGTGCTTGGAGGTCATCTGGTATTTTTTGCACAACAAAGCCTTTATCTTGTTCTCCCTCCCCTACTATCAATAGTTTTTCTGGTCTGACTGGATTTCCCTGCTGCCACATCTCCAACAAAGGGAGAAGGTCCACACAGCAGAGGTGAGGAGGGTGAGCCCCCCACCCCTGCATGCTGAGGGCCCGCCCCAAACCTCTCTCCACTTGGGGAACATAAATAGCATCTGGTAAATCACCAGCATAGAGTTTTTTGTGCTGACACACTCCCACGGCACCCAGTCAGACATAGCTGCTCAAGAGCAGTGCATCCGGAGAAAGGACCTGCTCCGTGCTGAGAAGCCGGGTGCTGGCGTCCTGCTCTGGCTGCTCTGTGCCTCAGTTTCTTGCTGAGAAAAAAAGAGACAGGAGTGATAATTGGGTTTGGTCTTGGCTGCCAGCACTAGCAGACACCCCATGTCCCAGGACACGGTGCAGAGCCCAGCCCGTCCCCGCTCCTGGTCAGCCCAACCCTGTTCTCCAGACCTTCCAGAGAACAGGGTTGGGCTGACCAGGAGCGGGGACGAGATGGGCTCTGCACTGCTTGCATGTCCCCAGGCCACATCCCCGTCCCCCAACAAGTCCCCGTCCACTTCCTCCTGCTTCAGCCCCAGCCCCAGTCAAGGAGCTACGTGCCTGCGAACATGCAGCAGGACATGGTCCCCGCTTCTGCTAGACAGGCAAGCGGTCACACCACAAAAAGGGAAGGTGTGGAAACCAAACAAAATATTCAAAAGCCCTGCCAGGAAGGTGGTATTGTGAGAGCTCCTGGGTGACAAGTATTCCCTGCAGCCTGCAGGTAATACTTAGAAGCTGTTAACTCCTGGGGAATCCACAGAGGAATTGGGCATGGCTGTACTAATGGCTTATGGTACTCACCAACAGCTTTGCAAAAAAGCAGAGCTGGCTCCACAGCAGCTTCCAGGCACGCTGAAGCACAGTTGGGTATTTCTTCCTCAGATCGGACATCTCTGTCGAAATTTGGCAGACCCTGGAGCTCCTAGCTGGCAGCGGGGAAAGCCGCTGCTGGTCACTGGCACTGGGTATCATGCACAAGGATTTGCTGAGTCTGAGGCATCTCTTGGGATGTCAGACCTGATCCCAGGCAGTCCCTCCGCTCGCGCTGCCTTCAGCACCATGCCACGCTGCACGAGCCGAGGCTGCACATCTGCACACACTTTGCGGCTGCAAGAGTGGCACTCGCAGGTACCAAACCTCTCCTACATCCCCTGCATAGCCCAGGGAGCTCCCGGGCCATAAATCCTACAGGCGGGCAGGCGGTACAAAGTGAGGGACATTGGGGGACAACAGTCTAGTGCAACACGGGCAGCTGCGGGGCCCTCGGACATGTGCCAAACCTCGATGTGCCAGACACTGCACGATGCTGACAGGTCCCTGAACAGGAGCTGCCACCTGGTGGCACTGGGACAATGCTGCTGGCCTGCCTGCCATGAGAACCTGCATGGGGACATTCAGGGTGGCCCTGCACCATGGCACTGGCTCTGTTCAGCTGCACTGAGCCTGGGGCTGCTCCGGCACAGCCTGGCACTGCCGCTTTTGCCCTGGGACACACACCCAGCTGGGGGCTCGCCCAAGCCCCGAACCCTGGCTCTCGCCACGGGTGCTGCAGCTGCCCTTGGCAGGTTTCGCTGCACTAGCTTGTGCCAGGCCAGACGTTGGCTGGGAAATGCCACCTCCAAACCCCCTTGATGTCCCGTGGCTGCTCTGGACTTGATGCTGCAAGGTCAGGCAGCTCTGGTGAGACAGAGCTGGAACTGTGCTAGAGGGGAAGTGTCCCCATGTGTGCCACACCTCGGCCAGCCCACAGTGGGACGGGATTCCTCAGGGCAGCAGGGACAAGAGCAAAGCGAGGAGGTGAAGAGGACCAGCAGGTCAGAGCCACTTTTCTGGGACCAGGGACAATGTGGTTTTGAGCTTACTGGGAAACTCCAAACTATAGCAAAGGCCCTTCTCCAGCCAAGGTCATCCCTGGTAACAGCAAACTATAGCAGCTGTGTTGAGACCACAGCCTGGAGGGAACAGGCTCTGCTGGTGGGGAAATCCTCCTGGGAAGTTTCCTTCCCTTGCCTCTGGGGAGACTCAGCTGCACAGAGGAGCTGGGTGCTGGGGGAAAGCATGGGCTGGGGGCTGCCAGCTCATCCCCAAAGCCTCCTTGCCCACCATGATCTCCTTGCTCAGCAGGACTCCTGCCCCGCTTCCCAGAGGAGAGGGAAACAAAAGAGGAGGAGGGGGAAGGGAAGGGCCTAAGAGAAACTTCTTCCAACTTCTTGGGAAGAGAAAAGCCCTATTCAGGCAGGAAGAATACCCGTGCAGAGCTGGTCACTAAGCAACCTGCAGCAATTTGGTACAGCCCAACACACGGGCAAGGAACAAAGCTGCCTCGCTGCCCACCCAGAGCTGGGCAGGGAGAGCCTGAAGGACCCAGGGACCAGCTGTGCGCAGCCACTGCAAGGGGCTGAGACACCAGCAGGGTCCAGAGTTTGTCCTCGGTCAGCTCTAGAGGGTGACTAGCCTCCGTCAGGCTTCCCCATCACAGGGAGGCCGTGTGCTGCACAGGAAGGATTTTGGGTCTGCTCCAAAGCTTGTGGCTCCCCATGGGTCTGGTCTTTACACGGGGCTACATACATCATTCCCAACAGGCACAGTGCTCTTTGGATAACTCCCTGCTCCCACGGACGTAGCAGGGATTGCACAGGCAGAGCAGCCAAACACAGGCTATGCCCTCTCCCCGATAAGCTGAATTCTTCATTTATATTATCAATGCAGGGGGCCGTCCTTTGCAAACAAGCTTAGCAAGACATGAGAAACTGCTTGGCCTCTCCCCAGCACAAGGAAAAAAGGGACAAAGGAAACCAGACCTGACAAACCCTGTTGACAATCCATGCTGAAATGCCTCCCTCGGAGCCTGGGGGAGTCCCTGGAGACGCTGCTGCCCCCAGCAGAAACGCTGCACAAAAGGAAAACTGCTGGCAGCCAGAGCAGCTCCACTGGGACCAGTCAGTGTGCAGCCAGGCCCAGCCCAGAGCCTGAGGAGCCCAGGGAGATGCACTGGACCCGCCCGGACACTGGAAGTGGCTTTTTGCTTGCATGGTGTCATGAAGGAAACATCCAGCCCTTCATGCATTTTTCTCCAGCATCTGATATACTTGGAGAACAGCTGCTGGGACAAGGACAGACTTGCCAGGCGTTTACCCACTTCCTCGGGGAGGTGTTTGGCCAGCTCGGATCCCCATTCTACGATAGCAAGGAGAACAAGCGGAGGACACTCAGGCGTGCCCACACAAGGTGCAGAGCACCTGCAGATGGAGGTATTTCATTACCACTCAGTCCTGCCCTTTCCTGGCTTCATCGTTCGCTGTCTCAGCCTTTAAGCAACTGCTTTCGACACACACTAAATATCCACATCCCACAAGGCCGCAATGAAAAATCAGCTTGGCCAAAGTAGTGCCATTTATTTTGCTCACAAAACCTCTTTCAGAAGGCCAATACGCTGCAGGCTTGCTGGCTGCAACCAGGCCTCTCTCAGCAGGAGGGGGACAGGCACTCCAGCCAGCAGCAAGGATGGGCAGCATACATCCCTGGACCTGGAGAGCTCCTGCCTCCCCTGGCAAGAGGGCAAACACAGTCCTCTTGGCACAGCTGGGAGCCAAGCGTGCCAAAGCCCACATAAGTGGGGACTCAGCACACCAGGACCATGACACAATATTCACATGTCCTGCAGCCAGGGGAGCGCCGGAGCAAGAGGCACCAAGTCCTGCATGCCTGCTGCACCATGGAGAGCATTTACATGCCCCTGAGCTGACAGTAGTGCTCTTTCTGAGGTGTCATGACAAGGCCACAACTGGGAAGCAGAAGTGAGACTCATCCTCTCTCAAATTAGTTGCCTGGAAGTGTCCAGTCCCTCCTTTTTATCTGCAGGGAGCAGAGTTGAGAGCAGCACCTCCAGGAATTAAGTCAACCTGAGATGGGATCTATGCGTCCACCTCCATCCACTGACTGCTGAAGGAGCTTGCTTAGCACACCCAGCTGCAAGATGGGCACCACCCAGAACAGAAGTAGCCCCAGCCTGAGGAGCGTCTCCTTGCAAAGAGAGAAAACCTGGATGAAGATGCAAGACACTGGATCATATGCTACCCAGATCCATCCTGGATTCTTCTCTCCCAATACCAGTGCCTACAACACCATCAGCAACAGTCTTGCAGCATAGCCTGGTGGGACTTCTTTGTTGGCTTGCTGCATTTTCTTGCTGTTCTTCTCCCGGTCTGTAGCATTTGTAGAAATGTTGTGAGAGAACAGAGGTACTGAAGGAGGGAAAATATCTTTGTGGGGATGAAATGTGCCTGGAAGTCCAGAGCTAACCCTGGGTCTGGTGGTCCTCTTCCGTTCCCAGTGGGGTGGTGTTGAGATTTCCCAGGCAAGCCCTTGCCACACAATCAGGATCTCTGGTAAAGCTTCATGATATTCTCATCATGAAGCTTTTTCCACACCTGCTTCTCCAGGTTGAAGTCATGGTTAGTGTAGAAAATCAGACGTTTCCAGTCCTTGTCATAGTAGTGATCTGAGTACTTCTCATGACCCTCCGTGATGTAGCCATAGGCACTCACCTGGGAAAGATGGAGGGCTCACTGGGGAGAGGTACCAAGGATGGGGGGAGCTAAGTGAAATACAGGACACAGTTCCCAAACAGGGAGGGAGCACAGGATGCCAGCCAGGGCTCCTCTGGGTGACCCAGCATTGGGGTCCAGAAGGACTAGACTATCAACACTGGCTCCAGAGAGCCTGCTGTCCCCTCACTGCCTCCCTGGGAGGCAGGACGGCTCTCAGGCCACAGCAAGCTTCACAACCCCCACGTGAACTATTCTGGAACTGTTTCTCTTGTCTTCAATCTGCTCCTCCACAGTTGACAAGAACCCATATACCCTCAAGGCAGATGGTAGACAGGGTTGGAGCCACCCCTGCTCTGCCAGTTATCCTGTCTCCCCTTCCAGACAGTGCTATGTGCAAGAATCATCGTGCCCTTACCCGGTCGCAGAGATGGAGGGCAGTCAGCAGCAGGAAGGCCCCTGTTGTGGGTCTGTACAGCCGCCAGTAGGGCTTTTCCAGACTTTTAGATTTTAAAAACCTGCAGCAAGAGAGAAGAAAGCACAGAGCAGTTGCTGGGTGTGGTGGTTCAAGCTAGGCACACCTTGTTCCCCTGTGGCTTGTGTGGCATCTTCCCTCCTTGCAGCAGTTTGCAGCCATATGAGGCATTTCAGGTAAGCCATGAGTATGCCCTCACGGGGGTACCACTGCGTGCTCAGTAAAGCTCTGGCTAGACCAGAGGGCTCCATCACCCACCCTGCAACCTAAGCCCAGCTCTACCCCAGCTTCATGGAAGCGGTAGGTCTCGAGGCAGTGGGGATAGAGAGGGGATGGATCTAGCACGTTAAAACCCACTCTTAAATCTGTCCTTTGCCTTGCAGTGCAGAAGTGGCTTTGAAGCTCCCTAGTATATCCCGCTCCACACCCACATTTAGGAGTGAAATGAGATGTAGGAAAGGTGCAGAAGGAGGTCATAAAACCCGCTAGGGGCTACAGCGTTTTATGCCAGCAGTTGTTACAAAGGTAGGAGTCCACACGAGGAAAAAATAGCATTTGAGCCCTCTTGCCTTGGAAAGGACCCAAGTTAGAGGGGAAACGGCAGAACAAGCAGAGAGGTGCACACCATCTGGCGCTGCATTTGCCTTCTCTCAGAGAAGGTGTAACTCAGATCTCAAGGAGACTGAAGGGTAAATACAGCCAAAGCAGACACAACAGGAGCTCTTCTTCCTCCATCTCTTGGTCACATGTGGCCCAAGATCGGCAGATCTTACAGTGACAGTGTCCAGCAGGCTTGTGAAAAGGATTAGAGAGGCAAAGAAGAGCAGACAGGCAAAAGGGATACAGAAGGAGTGTCTATTATCGTGTTTGAGGGCAATCAACCTCCTGAATCAAAAAGGGATCTCGGAGAGAAGGGCTGTTACAGAGCCTTCCTCCAAGGTGCTGAGCAATGGGGAACATGAAAGGTTGGTCCTGAACGAGACCAACTACTCTGGCACTTTAGCAACACTCTTCCCATATCTAAAGTTGCCATTGTCCACTACTCTTTTGGATGCAGAAAACCAAACTGTCCAATGGCTGGTTGCTTCTCCAGCTTCCAGACGCTGGACACCTACCCACCACTAACATCCCACTGCAGCACCACAGAGAATTTTAACTGACTGTACACTGATGAAGCTTACCCCCAACCTGCTGGTGAGGCTAAACGGCAGTACAAGGGAGTGAGCTGGGAGGAGAAAGCCCAGAGACAGACACAGATGGTGCTGGCCAGAAAAAAAAATAAGCCTGTTAGTGCACATAACCCCCAGCTCACCTGTTTTTCATGTATCTGAGGAAATCAGGGTGAACCACCAGGTATCTGTCCGTTGTGAAATCGTCACTGAATCTGTCCCGGGGCCTCCGCCTAAGGACAGGAATGGGGAGACTCAGGACAAGCTCCTATATTTCATCACAGCTGGAAAGCATCAGCCCTGATGCACTTGGTGACAAGAGAAGAACCACAAACACTGTTAAGTTATTCTGTGACATTTCCCAGATTAGGAGAAAGCTTCCATAACCTGTGTGCATTGCAGAGGAAGTGATCAGGGAGGAGAGGCAACAACAGGAGGCAGGAATATCAAAAGCATGTGTAAGTATAGACAAGAATTGGTGAAACCAGGCCTTCATCCATCAACAGGCCATTGTGTACAGACACCAGACCAGACAACAGCGTGTGTTCATCCCAGAGGACACAAAGCTTTCTCCAAGCTCTGGCCACACATCAGTGAAATCAGCTACTTCTGGGAAGGAGGTGTATTGGTTACAGCAATGCTCAGAGCTGGGATGGAGGCTTTAGCCTGGCTTCACCTCGGCAGGGATGAGCACTGTGGGAGGGGAGAGGGCACAGCAGAGGTGGGGCCAGTTTGTTTTACCCATAGTCCAAGAATCCTTTCCTGATGTCCTTGTTCAGCAGAAGAGCCTTCAGCCACTCATAGTCTCTAGCTCCCTCCAGGAAGTGAATGTATCTGACATCCTAAGGAAACAAGTGAGCATTAATAGCACAAGAGAGACACATCCTTTAAAAACAAAGAGCAAGCAGGCATCTAGGCTCACTGAGTTTCTTGGACACACATCTTCAGTCTGCAAGTTTTAACTATCGCACAGAAGCAGAATGGGTATAACATCTGAGGAACAGCCACTTCTAGGTGCCAGAAGGCTGGGGTAGGACTCACACAGCTTGCCACTGCAAACACTCCCTCCGAGCCAAGAGAACGCAGGTTCCCTCACTCAGGGTAACGCTGAAGCGTTAGCTCAGCCCCTTTGCTCCTCACACGGGGTGAAACCAGAACTGAAGGCCACAGACTAACAGCACACTGTCAAAGCTGTGCATGCATACAGCTTGGACATGACTTACCTTTCCCCATTTCTGCGTCCCAAGATCAGGAGAGAGGCCTCCAGGGAGTAGGCTGTGAATCCATAAAAGGAGGTTTTTGTTCCTACATCTTTTTCGTAGCCTTTGATTACAGCCCCGCTCACCCTGGCCAAGGAAATCAGAGGAGCAGAGTTAGCAGATGACCACTGGAAACCCTCACATCCATGTTTACAACAGGAGAAGACAGTGTTATTCTGGAGGAAGGGAGGACGAGGCCCATTTTGAGCTACACCTCTCGATCTGCAGGGGAGCCCCTGCTTTGGAGACGGTTCTTTTTGTCTCGTCTGTGAACCCAGGCTCTTCCTGTGTGTTTAAGAACTTTCCAGTTCCTTTTTGGTTTTTCATCTCCTCCTGCAATCAGTCATTTTGGCACTTGGGAGTCCGTGTGATACTAGAAGAGGTGAAGTTACCCAGCCGTAATTATCTGCTAGCCAGAATAAGCTAGCTCCGTATCTTCTAAGAAGGAAGCCTGCCTTACCGGAAGACATAGTCATGGGAGTCAATCTCCTGGCCCATCCCAGAGTTATTCAATATTCCTCCATTTCCCACAACAGCACAGCTGATGCATGTCGGCATGCTGCTGTTTCTGTTGGCCAAGAGCAGCTGCTGGTGGGGATTTGGTGGTAGCAGGGACATGACCTCCTTCACCACTGTGAAGCAAACATGGTGGAGAGTTACCATCAAGAGCTTTTGGGATAGACACAGTGAAACCACCACAGTTTCCACCACAAGATCCACCTAGCCTGATGCCTTTGACAGGGAGATGCTGCAAAGCTCTAGCTACTTGGCATAAGGTTCCTGTTTTCTGACATGCCCTGAAGGACTCACGTGAATAATTCAGCTCCATGAAGCCAAACGGAGGTGCAAAATGCTCCAGGCGGTCCCACTCAGTGTCATTGAAGTATCTCTTGTCTGTGAAGAGCATAATGTTGGGCAGGAAAAGATTTCGCAGCCAGTCAGACTTGGCAGCTTTGGCCTTCACTGATTCAGAGCAGGTCTTGAAAAACAAAAAGACAACAATAAGGACTGATTAGCAGGGAGCTGACAAACCCGACTGAGTGCCAGTGCTCGTGTGGCTGCGTGTGAGAGTACTGGAAAGAAGCACAGAAACTCTAGTTGTACATCATCCGTTCCCCTCAGTGTCTCCATCACCATAAACATGAGGCATAATTTCAGCACTACATCAATAACTACCTGGTGGAAAGCCACCTACAAGGAAGCAAGAGTGACTCCAGGTCTCTGAGACTTTCCTCTTCAGAACAGGCTTGCGATGCTGATGTTTTACTGGCTTTGGGCATCTTTAACTGATGCAAACTAATATCTGTAATAGGTCTAACCTCAACATACCAAACAAGACTAGCCATCTAGTGTGTTGGCAACACACCTCACAAGGTCCTGGCCTCAGAGCGCACACAAGCAAACACACTAAGGAACATCTGAGGTCAGATCACCATTATCACTCCCTTTAAAGATAAGAAAAAGAGTGCAAACAACTTGTTCAATGTCATAAGTGAATCACAGAGAAGCACGCCGCTGAGGAGGGGATCCAGGGCAGCTTATCCTCTCTAAAAGAGGAGGTCCCATTGCAGTAGGCTGGGTGTGCAGATGGAGAGCAAACAACTCCACTGCGCTGGATTTTCTGCTGAGTCCATTTGGGCTCTACTTTCTTAGACATCTTCCCCAAATACCTACTGCAATACTTAATGCAAGACAAAACAAGAGACCAAATGGACCCACATGCCTAGCTCAAATACCCAGCAATTGCCAAAGCCTTGCACTGTGCTCCACAGCTGAGCTAGGCTCTCTGTTACGGGCGAGGATGACAATCCGGCTACAGCCTGAGAAGACAGCCCTCATTCTGTCTGCCACAACAGGAGTGCAACAACAACACTGTGGAGGGTTTCATGTTGGCATCATTTCACTTGCAGCACATTTCATGTCCAGACACAGGGACATTCCCTTCCTGCTCAAGCTGTACTTCATACTGTCCAAGGCTTGGTACTTCTTGTGCCTCCACAGCTAGACTGGATCAATACCAGAGGAATCAGGGAAAAGACTGAGCATGTAGGCAATGAAGGAGGTGGGAGTGCTTCTACTCTCTCTCTCTGCAGAATTAAGAGATCAGGTTTGGGAGTGAGACCCAACATGCAATGTCTGGATCCACTTCTTCACTACAGACCCTTCTCTTTTCCGTCCTGAGGAAGGGTTTTTCCCACTGTCTCAGCTGCTCTGCACACCCAGATGCTCTGCAGCCTCAGTTACGGCAGAGGATGTTCTCAGCTTCCTGCTGTGAACTGCAGTCTTGCATTTCTCTGCCCGCTCCTGCTCTGAGATGGCTGCATGTGCTCTGCAGCTCATCAGATGAGAAGACGGAAGCATCTGACAGTCATCAAGCAGGATCCTGGTGACCCAACCCACTGTGTCTACAGGCGGTAACACTGGGCAGGAGGTGTGAGGTACTGTCTCATGTGGCATACGCACTCCTAGCCTTGAAATTCTCCCACTCCCATTTGTATTCTGGATGCCTCAAGACCATGGGGAGCCCAGGAAGAAGGATGCACATCCTGCATCACAGACTGGATATCTGCCAGACCCTTCTGCTGTGACGCAGTAAGGCTGGGCTAGTGCATGAGCTCAAGCGTTGAACAGCCAACTTCTGCATTTAACAGTCACAGATCTCTGGATAACAGAGGTATCTTTGGGGCCAGCTGCTCCATGCCACACTGAAGAGCACATCCCGTCAGCAGAAGAATGTCTCACACTGACAAAAGAGGCAACGGGGAACAACATCAAAAAACCACAAGGGAGAGAGAACTCAAAAAGAAAACATCAAACCAGTAAAACTTATCCTAGGATTTTTTATCAGCCCAGTTCATCTGCCTCTGCTCTCTGCATGTCTCCCATGGCATCTTGGGCAGCCTAGGCTTGGGGAATGGGATTAAATTTTTCAAGAGTAGCCTTTGCTACCCTGGGAGAGGTCTGAGCAGAATAACACGGTGCCTGCAGCACAGTCCCCTAGTGCAACATCTACATTCTCCCTAAAGCCACCAAAATGACACATGGCAATGAGGGAAGATCGTGGCACTAAGACTTTAAATGGACAAATGGCTCATCTAAGACCACTGAGCTAGAACAGCTGCTCCTGTCCTCTGCTCACCTGCCTACACCCTCCCTGCTCCCTGAGCATGTCAGCAGCACAGAAAGGCTACTCACACCCATGTATAAAGAACTTTCTCACTCTAGAGAGGGTTACCTGCCTGCCCAAGCCTTCCAGCAACAGAGGTGCCAAGGAAAACTGCTCTGGGTAAGCTTTACAGAGTTACCAGCGTAAGATGGGGGACAGAGACAGTACTGTGCACCACAGCCTGCCCCATCTGCTTACTGAGAACTTTGCTATAGTTTACAACTTCCCCAAAGGCCCTGTTCCTGGACCTAAGTTATTATGAAATGCTCAAATTTCATTTTAAATTAGTTCCAAACCCTCCTAGCTACAAAGGAAAGGTCAAAAATATGCTCAGAACAAGAGTTCAGTGCAAAACAGAAAAGAAAAATACAGGCTTTCAATTCAATTGAAATTGGAACTGCCTCAACCTGAGGTGGGCACCAGACTTACCATTTTGGAAGATTACATCAGCGATAGGACCTACACAGGCAGAGGGCGTTCACAAGAACTAACCTACAGAGCAACACTCTCAACAGGATCTGTAAGAAAGCTTTGAAGCTGTAGCTGTGCAGGCACTACTGCCTTGATAGGTACAACTGTATCGTTCGAGATTCTCATCTTTACCTACATCTCCTATGCAATATATCCAGGCACCCAAGAGTGGAACCACCTTGTAGCACATTTAGAAGGAGAGATATTTTCCCCAGCTTCTGAGGACTGGCAAGGCTAATTTAGTTGTACGTATAGGCCTCCCTCTCTAGGTCCCAGCAGCATGTGCACATAGCAGTGAATTGACCTACCAGCCTGGAGATCATCCTCAAGTGCAAAGGGCACACATGCCTGGGGACAGCAGATAAAGACGTCAACAGGGAGGCACCATTCCTGGCGAACACACACACTTATCACACCTACCAGTGGTGGAGATGAGCTGTCCAGCAGGTACTCGTCCTCAAAATCCCACTGCGGCTCAGACTTGAAGTCAGCAGCCCTCAGTTTCTTCTTTTCTGTCACTGCAGCAGTTTGAGGAACAGGTCTTACAGTTTTCACTGATGTAGGAGGCTCTTTTGGCTTTGTTTGGTTCTTGGCTGTGTTGTTTTCATGAGCTCCCTTCACCGCAGAGGATGGTCTTGCTGTTGCCTTCTCCTTAGGTCCCTCCACCCTGGGAGCTGGTTTTACTGTTGCCGTTTCCTTGGCTTCTTCCACCACTGGAGCTGGTCTTGCTGTTGCCTTCTCCTTAGGTCCCTCCACCCTGGGAGCTGGTTTTACTGTTGCCTTTTCCTTGGCTTCTTCCACCACTGGGGCTGGTCTTGCTGTTGCCTTCTCCTTAGGTCCCTCCACCCTGGGAGCTGGTTTTACTGTTGCCGTTTCCTTGGCTTCTTCCACCACTGGAGCTGGTCTTGCTGTTGCCTTCTCCTTGGGTCCCTCCACCCTGGGAGCTGGTTTTACTGTTGCCTTTTCCTTGGCTTCTTCCACCACTGGAGCTGGTCTTGCTGTTGCCTTCTCCTTAGGTCCCTCCACCCTGGGAGCTGGTTTTACTGTTGCCTTTTCCTTGGCTTCTTCCACCACTGGGGCTGGTCTTGCTGTTGCCTTCTCCTTGGGTCCTTCCACCCTGGGAGCTGGTTTTACTGTTGCCTTTTCCTTGGCTTCTTCCACCACTGGGGCTGGTCTCACTGCCATTTTCTCCTTGTTTCCCTGCACCCCAGGGGCTGTTTTCACTGTTGTTTTCTTGATTCCCTCCAACCCGAGGGGTGGTTTCACAGTGATGCTCTTCTTGGCTTCCTCCACCTTGGCAACTGGTTTCATCATGTTCTTCTGATCCTCCTTTCCTTCCCATCTTGGTGTCCTCTCAACCACGCCTTGTTCAAGCCTTGTGATGTCTCTCTCCACGGTCTCCTCTAAAACGCTCCTTGAGTTCCCATTATCAGAATACTTTAAACCCTGTTGCTCTTGGGCGACCACTTGTAGTGTATCTGGGGTAGGGTGGAAAATGCTCAGTTGCCTGAATGCAATCAAAGGAAAAGACGACACATCACACACACTTTCCACTTAACATTGAACACCTTCCAGCCCATTTCTAGTGCTCTTGACTCTGAGACCCTCTCTGGCTTCACAGCAACCACTGCACAGGGCCACCACACTCAGAGGACTTGCCTCAGCAACTGCCACCGAGTTTCTGCAGGATGCTGGATGAATTCAATTTCACTTTCAACTTCCCACACCATCCTGGCCTGAATACCACTTATCTCCCCACTAAACAAATCCCGGAGGCTATACATTCCACTTCAGCACTTGGCTCATGAAACATCCACACTGGCAGTAACTGCAAACCAGCACAGATCAGCTTTGCCCTGCGCTGGGCAGGACCCCTGGCAATGTCCCCAGGGCACTGCAGGACTGCTTTGAAGACGCTGAGTTCAGGACAGCACAAACTATGAAGGCAGGCATCTGGCTCTCTTCTTTACCAGCAGAGCCAAATGCTTCATGTGATAGAGCAAGAGCATGAAGATCTTCCAGAATTCAGTCAGCAAAGTCTAATTAAAGAAGCAAAAGTCACTCCTTTACCATACATCACTTTTTAAGCATCTGGGGTCACAGGTACTTTCTCCTCTCCTCCCTCCCCTTAGCCAGCTGATGCAATGGCACCACACAGTGCTCACCAGGCACACGTCATAAGCTAGGCACTTTGAAGATATTAAAATATACTCTGAAGCTTAAAAATGTAAAATCTCTGTATTTTCAGCAATTGCCTCTAATACTGTAGCTGCCCTGTTGCCTGATTCAGAGGTACAGGCAGGTACAAGGATATCTGCCAACAGCAGAAGAGCCACCTGCAACAAGACTGGGCTGAAACCTGGCAAAAAAAATCAAGGCAGCAGTGGTGGGTTTTTGTCCCATTGATTCTTATCTGCATATGGCTGGAGGGTGGAACAGGAAAAAGGAAGGTGAAAAATTTCTGCAGCTGATCTTTTATGTACAGCAAAGCTTTTCAGGACAAGCCAGCATACACTCACATTCACCCTTTGCAAGATGCATTTGTTCTGGAGAGCTATGGATTGCTTCCGAAGTAATAAATGGGGGAAAAAAAAGGACCTCTGCAGAGAGCAGGCTGCAGATAACAGTTCAATTGCTGCTGAAGCTTCAGAGTGGTACAGCATTCACGGAAATGATTAGGTAATTATCAGCTAAGGAGGATTTAAAAAATAATTTTGTATCTGATAACAGTGTTGCAAAGGTTTAAATATTTTCTAAGTAAAGAAGGTAAATGGCCTATCAGCACTTCCTCCACCTCCCTTCATAAACGTTATCCGGTTCCAGCCAAGTACACAGCAGTTGCTTTCTATCAGCACTTCATGTATAAACTTGTGTTACTGTTTACTGCCTAATAAGAGGAAAGATTTTATATATACACTCTAAGTAAACAGAAATTTGATGAGGTAACTCAGGCAGATCTTACATCCCTGAATGATTTTCTGTTGTATTTTTAAGATGATGTTTAAAATTTTGAAAATTAAAGGGCAGAGAACAAATGAAATAGGGCAGCATGACAAACCACCCCCTGCCCCAGACCTTCCATGCTTCTGTCTCTTAGGGCACAGATTCCACCCCAGCTCTATTACACTTTAATTTCAAATACTGTGACAAACATACAGAGACCAATAAATAAAACTGAAAGCTCTTCACATCCAAAACCTTGCTCCCTGCTGTCAGACCCACACGGCCAGGCACTCCTGCCTACACAGGACCCTGCTCTCCTGACCAGCATTTTAAATCCAAGGCAACCGGTCAAAGCAGTTCATCAAATTTCTGGCTCTAGAGTCCAGCTGGCAAACGCCTGCAGTAGCTCAGCGATATTTACTGTCATTTTCCTCTCCATTTACAAAGCCTTAGCACAAATAGAAGATAAAGCCATGAAAGTGCTGCTTTGTGTATTTTACATTGCATATAAAGTTACAGAAGTGGAGCTGACACACAGATAACCACATACAGCTCATGTCTAGTTGTGTTCAAGTTGCAAAAATATGGACATTTCCATCATCTGAAACTACGGCAGAAGGAAATGGCTTCAAGCAGCTCGGCGTGGAGAGCCAGTTCTTGTCCCAGCTCTGTGATCAAGGACAACTCACTTCACTTCTCCACACCTTTTCCTTCTCCCCACCTCCCTTGTGCAGATCCTGACCTCTCCAAATTGATAGGGGTCCTTAAGGTGAAGTCTCGAGACACTGAGCTAAACTCGTGCCTCCTCCAGAAGAGATGCAGATGTTCCCAGCCTCGCCCCGTCTGCCTGCCCCCACAGCATCAACCCTGAGAGGTCCAGCTAAAAACTAACCCCACCAAGACAAGCCAAGTGAGCTCACTGGGAGAGCTGGGACCATACGAGGGCTGGCGGGGAGGCTGGGGCGCAGTTTCCTCGGCACAGCACAGGACACCAAGATGTAAGCGAGCCATGCTTGGAGCAGGAAAGGCTCAGAAACCTGCTGTGCTCAGGCAAGGAACTGTGCTTCCTGCCAATGATGCTGGAGACATTCTACTGCAGCCTACACTGCAATTCTCTCCATGTCCATTCTTGTAGTATTTACTTGACCATTTATATAAAAAATAATATATTGATCACATCTGCCTGACATTGGTCTCCCAGTATGCAGCATATTTGTATTAGGAATAAGATGCTGAACTCTCTATAAATTCAAAGGTATCCCACCAAATTCAGTGTCCAGCAATGCAATCTGGACTAGGGCTGAATGAGGTCCTTCTGGGAGCCACCAGGAAAAGCAAACACTATGTAGTGCCAAAGTATGAGAACAGGTAGCATTAGTAAAGCCAAAGCTGATTTCTTAAACAGATACACAAGGAAACACTGAAGACCAGCGATCCAGCAGAAGCAGGTTTTTGACTGTGGATCTTCCAACACCGTGGTCTGATTGTACACAACATGGTCTGCTAAAGCAAAGTGGTAATCTAACTTGAATCAGAAGTTTCAGGGTAAAGAGACAGGGAGAGAGCAAAAGAAATTGTGCACAAGCACTCTATCCAGACAGCGTGTATCACAAGCAAGGTGGTCTCTTACCTGAAAACCCTTGTCTTTGGCAAGCCAAAAAAGGAGGTGAAATTAGCAATGAAGATGCAAAAGTTTGTTAAAACAATGAGCCAAATGACAACTCTGGGAATTTTAGGAAGCCTCCTCCTGAAAAACCACATGGTAAGATGCCTGAGACTAACAGAGGCTCTGCTGCTACTGCCCTGTGGCGCTCACTAGGCAGTGCCTTCCAAAGGTGCGTTAAAGGAGTGGGCTGGTCTTCTCCCTGGATTTTTTTTTTACAAGAACGTACACACCCTCTCTCCCAATATGCCCAGACACTCCACACACAGATCCTGCTCTGTAAGCCCTGCTCAGTACTAACTAAAACATCCTGTATTATCAGCACCATTTTCAGCACAAATCCAAAACATAGCCACATCTTAGCTACTATGGAGAAAATTAACTCTGTTCCAGCCAACACCAGCACATTCTCTATCCCTTATTCTCTACTATTCACATCATGCTCAGGTCCTACACTATCCAATACATTTTCATTACTCACCACCCTCCTTCCCATCCTTTGATATAATTCACAGATATCATTCCCCTAGTCTATGGGCCACTCCTGTAAAATGTCTGTAAGATGTCCACTGAGTTCATTTAGTCCATGACTTTGGGCTCCATCTGTTCTGGTGGTTACCCAGCACAGGAGAGGCCATGTGTTCCGAGGGGTCACTGGGCACCAAAGCCAGCTCAGGTCGGGTCACTGCTGCACTTGCACGGCTTCTTGTAAGGCTTGTCCTCAGTTGGTTCAGGTGGTTCCTGCTATAGTAACTGCTATAACATGCAACCCAAATAATGAGTTACAACAATTTAAAGGTATTTCCATTACAGTCTCCAGCCCTGGTCCCTTTGGACCAGATCACAAGGGTTTAACACTGCAGTGAACTCCTCCCTGTGTCCCTGCTCCAGTCTGGACTCATCCCCAGGCTGCGGTCCCTTTGGGGTGTACCTGCTGCAAGTGGAGCCTTAGCTACGAGCCACAGTCTCTCCAGGGGTGCACCTGCTGCCATAGACTTATCCACAGCCACAGTGGCTCCAGCGTGGCCTTCTCCATGGACCACAATGCCTTCGGAGATGTCCCTGCTCCAGCATGGCCTTGCCCACAGACACAGTCCCTTCAGAGGTTGACCTGCTCCAACATGGCCTTGCCCATGGCTGCAGACCCTCCCAGGGAGGCACCTGCTCTGTCGTGGGTTTATCCATGGCCACAAGCTTTGAGGTGCTCCAGCATGACCTCATGCACAGCCACTGATGCTTCAGCATAGACTTATTCACAGCCACAGATGCTTTGAGGTCAACACAGGGGCTGGCAACCTCTCAAGGGCCACAGACCAGATGCCAGCCTCCTTTCCCAAACAAGAGGTTTTGCATGTTTCTCTGGCAGTCCTACCAGCAATCCCAGAAGATGCTGCTTCTCTTGTGGTGCGGAGACTCCAAGCCCAGCACTGCTGCTCCATGTTCAGTGCGTCCAGATACCAACATCAATGCACACACCAGAAGTTGTAGTTCTTCTATTCTTTAGCACTGTGAAAACAAGACCTTTTTTATTTTTTTAAGCAAACTCCACCTGGCACCATCAAGTGAAGATGGTTACCTGTTAGCCCTTTTCCAGCTCTAATCCCACATCCACTTAACTACATCCTTAGTTACATCCTTGACAGATAAAAGGCAGGTTGCCTTTCTGATTTTTTTTTCCATAAACAAACTAACTCCACTACATTAAGCTCTGTGTGTTGTGGGTGTTGGCTAGGATCTGAACTATGCCAACAGTTTATCTGTGTGCACTTCTCCAGAAGGCTGTGTATCAGATCTGGCTTACTTGCCTGTGTCCTTGGTGCTTTCCACTTTCCCACGGCTCTGGGCTAGGGAACAAGGCTTTAAGCATAGAGC